GCATCACTGAAGATCGCTAAAGATGTAATCACTCCTACGGCCACTGAGAACACTGCTACAACAAACTGCAATGATGATTTCAGCAATTTATTTGATTTAGAGGCAACAAATTTAAATGCCGGGCAGAAGAGAAGAACAATGGATATGTTAAAGAAGGTGTCATATGTGTTTGCGAGGGATCAGAATGACCTGGGTTGTGCTCCAGATGTTGAGCATGAGATACACTTGAGTGATAGTATCCCAGCACGGCAACCATGTAGACGAGTACCACCAGGGCAACTCGAAGAATTTAAAGAATCTATCGAGCAGATATGCTATCATCCGGAGTAATTAGGGAATCAAAGAGTCCATACGCGTCACCAGCTGTATTAGTTCGTAAAAAAGACGGTGGTCTCCGAGTGTGCGTTGATTTTAGAAAGATAAATGCTAAGACGATTAGAGATGCCTATCCTCTCCCTGGTATTTCTGATACCTTGGAAGCCCTGGAGGGTGCTCGTTGGTTTTGTTCTTTAGATATTCAGAGTGGTTATCTTCAGGTTAGGGTCGCAGAAAAGGATAAACCAAAGACGGCGTTGACAACACCCTTTGGTCTATATGAATTTAATCGCATGCCTTTCGGTTTAACCAACGCACCGGCAACGTTTCAACGCCTCATGGAACGATGTTTATCTGGTCTTAACCTTAAGATCTGCCTTGTCTACCTCGACGATGTTATTGTCTTTGCCCGAACCTTCGAGGAAATGTTGGAGAGATTAGAAGCCGTGCTCAGGCGTCTTGGAGAATTTGGCTTGAAGCTGAAACCATCGAAATGTAAGCTTTTCCAAACCAAGCTTACCTATCTGGGACATGTCGTGTCTGAAAATGGCGTAGAACCAGATCCCGAAAAGATTTCAGCACTGCCCAAATGGTTGGAGAATCCACCGAGAAATCGAAAGGAACTACAAACCTTTCTAGGTTTTGCCGGGTACTATCGCAATTTTGTCGAGGGATTTGCCAAGATTGCTGCACCGTTGTATGACCTGATTAAAGAACCAAACGCTAAAATGCCTCGGACATTCCTGTGGACTGAAACTTGTCAATATGCTTTCGAATCACTTATTTCCAAGCTGTCAACATCCCCTGTCCTGGCGTTTCCTGATTTCACTCTACCGTTTGTTTTGCACACCGATGCTTCAGGCGTGGGACTGGGTGCAGTTCTTTACCAATTGCAAAATGGCAAGAAGCGTGTTCTGGCGTATGGGAGCCGTTCCCCTACTCATTCGGAACAGCGCTATTGCGCCAATCGCCGAGAGTTTCTTGCACTGAAATGGGCCGTCACAGAGAAGTTTCGTTCTTATCTGTACGGTAGGAAGTTTCATGTTATCACGGATAGCAACCCGTTGACTTACCTACTGACGTCGGCAAAGCTTAGTACAACTGATCATCGTTGGTTGGCCAGTTTGTCGACCTACGATTTTACGATAAGCTATCGGGCAGGGAAATCTTGTGGAGATACTGATGGACTCTCTAGAATACCTCGGGAAGGAGATACCCCTCGACATGGAGAAGAAATGACGCCAGACGCAGAGTATCTCCGACCGTTTCTAGAACGATTACATGCATCAGAGTCAGACACAGTAGTGACTTATGTCCAGCAGGAGTTCCAAGCCCTTTGTGATTACCATATTGCCTTCGATGCCGCCAACGAAGAAACCACCTGTCCTGCCGTAGAGACACTGGGTATTGACGTATCAGCTATTGAAGCAATATGTAAGGAAGCAAGTCCCACTCGTGAAGGAATTGGTGTTGACATGATTCCACCACTCGAATGGCAATTGATCCAACGTGAGGATCCAGAAATTGGACGAGTAATCGAAATCTTGACTCGCCAAACTACTGGAACTGGCAACGTGAATGATGGGAACACTATGGTTAACCGGTTGTTGAAAGAAAAACACCGCCTTGTGTTCAAGGATGAAATTTTGTTTCGGGAACGCCTGGTAGATGGTGCAAAACTAAAACAACTTGTGGTCCCTCGTGCTATGCGAAAGCGTGTTCTCTGTGGGTTACACGATGACGTCGGACATCTTGGTAGAGATAAAACCATTGATCTGGTCTGCCAACGTTTCTACTGGCCCGGAATGACAGCGGACATTGAAGTCCATATTCGTGACTGTCACCGCTGCCTCTTGCGGAAAGCTGCTGACCCTCCACGTTCTCCTCTGGTGCCAATCTTGGCGTCAGAACCTATGGAACTCCTAGCTATCGATTTTCTGAGCATTGAAAAGGGGAAGGGAGGAAGAATCTGAAGATCTGTTGGTCGTGACGGACAGCTTCACAAAATATTCTTGGGCCTTTTCGACTAGGAACCAAAAGGCCACAACTGTCACCAAGGTGTTGTGGGAAAACGTGTTTGTCCACTATGGCTTACCACGGAGATTACACTCTGACCAAGGCCGAGATTTTGAATCAAGATTGATTGGTGACCTTTGCAGGGTTGCTGGTATCGAGAAGACCAGAACTACGCCATATCACCCCCAGGGAAACGGCCAAACGGAGCGGTTCAACAGAACACTGCTCGGCATGCTTGGAACCCTAAGTGAGGACAAGAAGACCGACTGGCCAAGTTACGTCGCACCAATGGTTTACGCCTACAACTGCACAAAGCATGGGTCCACTGGGTACTCGCCATATTACCTTATGTTCGGCCGCCAGCCACGTTTACCTATCGATATCGCACTCGGGTTGGATCAACTGGACAAGAAGTCTAAACCGTACTCTACCTACGTTGACAACCTTCGGGATCAACTTGCCCATGCGTACGACCTCGCGTCTAAGGCCATACACGAGCGGGCGAAAGGCAACAAGAAGAATTACGACCAGTACACCAAAGAAAGTTTCCTTAAAGTGGGCGACCATGTGTTGGTTCGGAACTTGAGCACGAGAGGCAAACACAAGCTGCGAGACCGATGGGAAGCGATGCCATGTGTGGTAGTTCTAAAAGTTGGAAAATTACCTGTTTATGCGTTAAACCGATAGATGGTGGGAGGGAGAGAGTACTGCATCGAAACATACTGCTTCCATACAGACTCCCCAAGAGTTCACCCCCACCGAAGCAGAAGAAACTTCCATATTTACGTCAAAGACCTGCGGCAGCAGAATGTGAGAGTGACGTTGTTACAGAAGAGAGTGAGACCGAAGAGGAATTTATTCCACGCAGTACGACACCCGATAATGGATCACCGCTGGATCCAACTATACCATCGTTCGTTATGCCAGAAGCCCTTCCGGTAACTGACGAACCAGCACCCGCAAACGACCTGCCAGAAACGGAACCGGCTATCGAGGCAGAACTTCATGAAACCCAACAGGAAGAGGTTAACGTTGACGAAAACCAATCCGTTGCGCGATCAGGAAGAATATCGAAGCCCCCTGAACGATTGGGCGTTCAACCGGTGTGGAGCAATAAGGTGGCAGTCCTTTTGTCACTGGTAAACGATAACAACAGATCTAGCGTAGAGAACGTGCTAGGAGCCTGGCTTTCAATGCCATCTCAACGTCAGACGGTTGTATAATATGTTGAAGATATATTATATTTTAACGAACTTCGGGACGAAGTTTCACGTGAGGGGGGAATATGTAGTAGATTGACTAATAAGTTAATTAGTAATAGGTGTTTATTTTGACATGTGACAAGTGACATATGATATACTAAATTGGTTATTGTTTTGACGAGACGGCGTTCGTTGATATTTTTAAAAGAGGGTTCCTTATAGCGAAGCGAATTCGCTATTGTAAATTACAGATTAAAGAAAATGAAACTGTGTGCGACTCATTTAATTTTGTGTAGTTGCCAAACACTTTGTGAGGTACTCTGCTACAAACACACCCTTATAAAATGTGTAACAACAAAGTATGCTACAATTCATATTCACTAATGCCAAAACGAACATACACTGCACAGCAATCAGGGAAATTTGGGGGCCCAGGACAAACTTTGACTTGGGGGCTCTCGTGATTCCATGTTCTAGGCTATGATTAGGGGGGTCCGGGGGCATCCCCCGGAAAAATTTTGAAATCTGAGGTCCCAGAAATGGCCAAATCCTGCATTCTGGAAGTCTAGTTGACAGTTATATCTATGCGGTATATTTCACTGCAATTCTTTATTTGGGCCCCCCTTTAACTCGGGTCCCAGGGCAAATTGCACCCCTCTGGGCGGCCTTGACAGCACCTGCAGTTACGACGACTATCTATGACAGCTTAGTTTCATAACAACATGACTGAAGAAAATAAATATTTTCCTCTTGGCAAATGAAAGGCGGCTTACGGGCTTTGGCGTGACAAATCTCTAGAGGAGTTCCAGGGACATGCACCCACAGACAATTTTGTAATCTAGGCACTATAAAAGGGCATCTCTTGCAATGCGCGGGGACATTCTATAGAATTCTGAAAATTATACAGTAATTGCAAAATCTTAAGTATCATTCACTCCATCTTCCAAACCCATAAAGAGATCTTTGGTGAGAGACTTTGTTCATCTGATGAACCATAAGTATGTTATTAGTGCGGACGTTCGATAATTTGGCAGTCATCATTTCAATTAAATCATTCTCGTTCAAAATGTTTCACCGGATTAGTTCAGTTTTTCTGCTCATTCATTGTCTCATTTTCTTGTGTTAATTAATAACTTATCAATGCAAATTTTATCACTGCACATTTTACATTTTATCACTGCACATTTTACTTTTATCACTGCACAAATTGGTTATTACTGCACACTAAAATTAGGTATGGGTAAACCAACAACTATATCAGATGAGTTGTCAGTTGGCCTCAGTCTCCCTTTCGATTAAGCTGACTTCTATAGTGGCGAGGGACGGTACGGTGTCACACCCCAATCCCAATGTTTTGCCTAAACGTTTTCTGTAATTTTTCCAGATCCAAGAAGAAAGCTAAAATCCAAATGTTCCAATTCTGACTCTATTTCACTATGTCTTTGAGCACCTTTCAATAACTTGTCAATTGAAATCATGTAATAACTGTTGTAAATTCAGCCCTACAAGTATCCATTTGAAGTCCTGGCTAATAATAATTTCGGTATGGCCAATACTGTTTTGCTCTACTGAGGCTCCGGCTATTAATTGATGAGCGACGCGAGTATGCAAAGAATGGAAGTTCGAAGTTTCAAGGGCGCTGGGAGTTGAGTGGTGGGCAAAGGCTTGTAAGCTTTGTCTATTTGGTATATTGTCCGAGTGCAAGACCGGGCTAACAATTTCAGCTTATCATTATTGCAAGTACATGAGAATTACACACAGCCACTGGCTGTCAAATGTCTTCTTAGCGCTGGCGAATTTTGCCGTTCGCCGGCCTAAAAGAAGATGGGTGGTTGTAATGAAGTCGAATTGCTTACGTTTGCGGAATATCCTAACTAGAAATGAACCAAGCTCTCTGGTTTAACATAACAGCACTCTGCAATGGATAAGCTACAGTACCTAATTCCTGATTCGAACATTTATCATAACTATAAAATTAGTTCTTTAAATGATAACTGACGCACCGATTGACTGCTCCTGACCGATAACCTCGTAACCAGGGTCTGGTGGAAACTCTAAGAGACTGGCGGACCCTGGATACGATATTGATTGATTATTATATAATGCCTTATTGAATTCTGATCGTTTAATAGGCTGTTTATGGTCACGTGATATTGAATAGAAAATTCCATTTCTCAAGAGTGCAATGGAATACGTTTCATTGCACTCCTTGCGAGTGCAATTGTACTATACGTTTGTTTCATTGCACTCTTTGTGTTCGATAAATCGCATCCGTCAAAATGCTTCTCGTACGGTGATCGCAGTTTATTTTAACACGACATTCGAAACTCAGTAAATGGGATTTAATGCAAATACGACTCGTCAAAATGGCGGGAGCTTACAGTAAACCTTTTAATATTAGTCCATTTTGGTATTATATAATATACAAATAATGAATGTTTATGAGTGCAATGGTAAGAATATTTTCATGAGGTGAAAGATGGAATGTTCCATTCAACGAGGTGACAGCCGAGTTGAATGGAACATTCCATCTTTCACCAAATTGCAACAATTGCACTCGCAACAATTGCACTCCCATTGGGAAATGGAATTTTCTATTCAATATCACGTGACCATAAACAGCCAATTAAACTATCAGAATTCAATAAGGTATTATATATAACAAATAATGAATGTTTTTATTCGTGCAATGGTAAGAATATGTTCATTCGGTGAAAGATGGAATGTTCCATTCAACTCGGCTGTCGCCTCGTTGAATGGAACATTCCATCTTTCACCTCGTGAAAATATTCTTACCATTGCACTCATAAACATTCATTATTTGTATATAATTGCATGTTGAATGGACACTAAATATGCAAACGAAAGAAAATAAATAACATTGACGATTGTAACCTGACCCTACACCTAACTATCACTGAATCTTATGTCCAAAGATCGTCAATATGATGCTAGGGTAAATCAGGATTATCTTAGCGTCACATTTTAGTCAATGTTATTTATGTTGTTCAATATGCATATTTTAGCCCCGTTTACACTACGCCCAATTTTTGGTACCGTACCACTTTTTTAGTTCTTGGACTACCTAAATAGATAGTCCAAGAACCAAAAAATGGTACGGGTACCAATTTTATCCGTGCCGTACCAAAAATTGAGCGCAGTGTAAACGGGGCTTTAGTGTCCATAGGACATGGAATTCGTGACGGACCGACCAACTACTGAAAAACTCAATGTCTTTCTGACTAAACCACTGATCGTCCATATATGACTGATTGACAATCCCACTGAACAACGAGCAACCCGACTCACCAACATATTGATTTATGACTTTACTCTTTCCTTTAGGTTACTCGGTAACGTGTTATTTATCCTTTCCATCGTCTGTGGTGCCTACCTAGTTGCTCGTAAATTCAAGAAAGTCAACCCGGCAACATCCTACAGTTTGTTTCATATTTTTTTCATCCTTTCGTTCGCTTTTCTGAGTTCCTGCTTAATTGCTTATATCTACACCTATATTATTATCAAAGATTTTAAGGAAACAGAAGGCAAGATCAGAAAAGCGATAATCGCTGCACTCACGCCAGGGATATTTTTCCCTGTAACTGCGATTGCAAAATACCTTTTACTGAGAAAGAGCTCGGAGATTATTACACCAGATCGTGCTTTTGTATTGTGTTATTTCCTACGCGGGGCTTCCATTGTACTGTACCGAACAATGCAATCACATTTTCAAAATATCTGGCTTTTCATCGGATTATCTCTGTTACATGGTGTCTCAAATGTTCTCAGTAAAGCAACGCTTAACTTTCGTATAAAAATGTAGAAGTTTTTCATCAAATGTCTAAACAACACTTACTGTGGCCCAAGATTAGAAGTCCAACCTTTAAATTCATCACGTATTCGTCGATTTAACGCAGATCTTGAAATTCAGAATATCTTATTCGAGTACATTACGGTAATCTTAAGTCAGGCATATTTGGCGTGTTATCTTGTAATGAGTTTCGATATCTCACCCTGGCAAGTTATACAAGGTTCTTTGACCAGGATAGCCATAAGTTTGGCCTTAGATTTTGTATTCAACATGATTTCAGTTTTCATTCAAATTCACTATTATGACATCCCAATGCGAAAGGTCTGGCTGAAATATTGGCCACGTCACGTGGTTGCAAATGCGTTATTCATGATCTGTATGGTGTCGTATTTTGGGCCATCACTGGTCAGTGTGTTCGCAGGCTACAAGTACATTTGGAAAGAATACAAACTTAAAAATTGTACATCAATATTTTAATTACACCCAAGTTGGATACCAGATTTCCTGTAAACTTGTCAATGCTATCATAGAACGACATCACAAGGATTAGTGTTATGATTAGAAATTAAAGGTTAGGATTAATGTTAGGGTTGGGATTAAGCCTGATTCACACTAGCAATTTTGTAGACGAGTTTTCTCCTCCTGGAAAATGTGATCGAATGAATGACATGCAAAAGACTTAGAATTGTTTACTTCTAAAAAGCGACTCTATACTTTTGTGTGCGAGTTCACCCATTTGCATCCGTCAGAAACACAAAATCGCCGACAAAATTGCTAGTGTGAATCAGGCTTTAATGTTAGGCTTAGAATAACAGTGGGGTCAAGATTAATGTAAGGCTAGGGTTAGGATTGTATTTAAATTAAATTTTGTGTCAAAAGAAAGCACGCCAATGGTATCTTCCACCAATTCGTCTGGCAATTTCTTTCACATCCCCGTCACTTACACTTGCACCGCAAGCTTTAATTCTCCAAATCATCTGCGACTTTGCCGTTTCCGTCTGGACGTTTGAATGTTTTTTCTTCTGTTTCGCACTTCTTAACGTCTTCAATTTCTGACCATTTTCCTTGCTCTTTATTACTCGTGCCAGGCCTTTGGCAGCACGAGTATAAGAATGGGGAGCCTTTCTTCTTTTTTCCCTTTTTTTGGTGTCAAATTCGACATTCCACAGGTCACCCGTAGACAATGTTTCGTTACTGGTTTATACAATTTTAAAGATGTTTCCATTGTATTTTACAAGGTAGCGAACTAAAAGTATTTACAGTACATACTGTACTTTGCGTGATCTAACATTTATAAGCTTACTGACTTCATTGCGTAGACGGTGGCATGCATGCCATGGTTTAGTTTGCTACGAATTTGTACGAAGCACTATCTTGCTGGCGAATATTTATTTCTTCCCTCGCCTTTTCGCTCCGCGCCCGCAATCCTTTCTGTTATTTTCGTTGGAACGTCATGTAATATTTTCGTTTTGTCAATTTATTCGCCATATTTGAACAATCGTTCTAATCAATGTTTCTGAGCATATATAAGCGTCCTGTTTGAAGCTATTCATTGTAAATGCAAGCTCTTATGATTTAAACAAGTAAGTGCAATAATTTAAATTTATTACGTTATGATGTTTTATTCATATTACGTTTAATTAATGTTTTATTCATATTCATAACACAGCTCTTCGTTGGACCCCCTGTGGGTAGACATGCTATATTTCACAACAAAATATGCGAACACTATCTTTCTCCTCGCGAAGCATTGTTTCTCTCGCAGATGTTATAACTTATAGTCTTATAATGCCCCTACTTGTGTCAATTCCCCTTCCAACCTTCGACGCACCGAATACTGTTTTAATTTGACAAACGAATGTTTCGTTCATCTTCGTAGTGTAAATGTATTATAATAGTACTCATATTTTTAAAATAAATCACTGATTTTAAGCGTGGACGTCTTCGCTTACAAAACCATGCGAAATGCCTCTCCTCTCACGAGGCATTATTTCTTAACAAACGTCATATCAGCCGATCAATATTTTTGCCTTCCAAGCCTTCGACGCATCATGCACTCGCTAACTAAAGAGTGGAGAGCACTGGAGTATTAAACTTAAACTCTTGATCCTCAAAATGACACAAATTTCATTCTGTTTTTGCAAACTTGAAATTCGCCATTCCCCTTATTACGTTTTCGTAGCGCTTTGCATTGTGGTTATAGTGGTATCACTGATGAAGATAGCGGCCTCGAATGAAAATATTGAATGTTTTCGCGAATATTTTGCTGTTGGCTATTGCGCACCTGACCCTAGCTTTTTTAAAAATTCTTGCACGGGTCAAGACAAAAAATAAGCCACCTTGAATATCAGTGATACCACTATAACCACAATGCAAAGCGCTACGAAAACGTAATAAGGGGAATGGCGAATTGTTCCCCGTATCCCTGATCTAATGCCCGGCACGAGTTAATCCTGCAAGGCGAGGATCTAGTTATAAGTGACAGGTAAGTTAATTTAAATTTAACGACGAAAAACAGATAATTCATTTACATTTAACGACGAAAAACAGATAGTTCATTTACATCTAACGACGAACAGCTCTGCACTACACTATCAGCGTTAGAAAAGAACAACTAATATACAACCTATCACTGATAATGATTCTGGAAGAATTAGTAGGTAGTGTTTTATCGCTTTGCTCCAGTTTCATAACACAAACACCACCAATACATCGAGAACAAAGACAGTTTACATTGATATTTGAAGAAACTCATGAACAAAACGAAGTATACGATGGCTTAATACACCAGGAGTATGAGCAACAGCCAGAGCAGGAGCTGCCTTATTATGAAGATGATATATCTGTTTTGGTACAACCAGATGGACAACCTAGCCGAGATTTTGCCCAATCATTCCACCGAAGTTTTCAAGTTAATGTTGGATTAGTAATGGCGGTTGTTTTCATATTAGGTTTGCTTACACTTGGTGTTGTCTATGTGGATTTGAACACAACTGATGCGTGCATCGAATGGATGCATAACAACTACAGTATTCCAAGAGTTGTGAAGATTTTGCAAATTGTTGGAATGTCTTTCGAATTACTTCCATTGTTTACATGGTTTCCGGCATGCATTGTAATGTTGTGGGGTTTCAAAGAGTTCAAGAAGAATTATCTATTGTGTTTACTTGTCTGTCAGTTGGTGATAGGAACCATAACCTGTGTTTACAAAATTATTACGGTTGACGAGGTAACACCAACCACAGTTCATTTTAGCAAATACAGGTTAGTAAACCGACAACTATATAACATGAGTTGTCCTTTGGCCTCAGTCCCCCTCAAGATTATGTCGACTTACATAGTCAGCGGCGAGGGAGGATGCGGTGTCACACCCACACCTATAATTCTTCCGGATCTAAGCAACAAGCTAAAAACCAGATGTTCCAATTCCGACTCTATTTCATATCTCTTTGAGCACCTTTCAATAACTTGCCAATGTAACTGAAAACATGTAATAATTGTCATAATGAAATCGAATTGCCAGGGCCAGGTTTCAGTCAATGTCATTATTTTTTCATTTGCATATTTTTTAGTGTCCATTCTAGGACATAGAATTTACAATCCCATTGACAATCCCATTGAACAACGAGCAACCCGACTCACCAAATATAGAATGTTTATAGAATTATCACGATTGACGTGGCACCACCAACCACAGTTGATTATAGCAAATACAGGTTGGTAAACCAACAACTATATCAGATGAGTTGTCAGTTGGCCTCAGTCTCCCTTTCGATTAAGCTGACTTATAATAATAATGAAAACTTTATTGAATTTTTTACGTATATATACAATTGTAAATCTCACTACTGACTTTGGTAATTTACAATTGGCTACATGAATCACAGAGTACTACATATGTACTATTTACAGTAAAAACAAGAATAAAATGGGTATATGATTATATATATTGTTATATGTAGTTATTAATTTAAATGTTTAACAATTCAGGGTTTGTCCACTCTTTGTTTCGACAGCAAAAAATATAGTACGTCGCTCTAATGGCATAAGACGTCATCTTTTTTATGCAGTAATGTTGCTGCTTTTTATAATAATAATAATAATAATAATAATAATAATAATAATAATAATAATAATACTGGGTTTTAATAGTATACATGGAATAAGATAACTTAATTGTCATGTATTTACATAGGTAATACCACTAATCTATTAAAATGTTATTAAAACTATATCTATTTACATCTAGTAAGAACATTACATATTATTATTGTATTTATCAATAGCATAGACTAGTGGACTGTTCTTAAAAAGATCAGTTCTACTTTTAAAGTTATAAAATTTGTTTCTATTGGATCTATTTTCCCTATTTCTAATGTTTCCCACTTTCACAGGTAATAGGTAGTGTAATTTATGTGACGGGGAGGACATGTTTTTAATTAAGTCACTGCAATGTATGTCCCGTCTCTGAATAAGTGGAAGTAGTTTAGACGAAGCAAGAGCATCTTCATAACTTAGGTCAGGAGTGATAATCCTTAGAGCACGTTTTTGGATTCTTTCAATATCTTGACTTTGTGATAACGTTAGGCCTCCATGCCATAATATGTCACCGTATTCCAAAACCGATCGAATCACTGAACAATAAAACTTTAATAGATCTTTTACTGGTGCGCCATATTTCTTTTTAACACCTTTAAAAAATATAGGCGTTTCCTGGCCTTTTTAATAATAAAAAGGTATTAGTATGCCATTTGAGATCTGATTGAAGCCAAATGCCTAATAGCTTGTGGGATTGTATTCTTTCAATAGGAATGTTGTCTATCGTAATCACTGGTATTTCAGATTTCATAATTCGAAGGTCGATTACCATTTCTTTAGTTTTTTTCAAGTTCAATCTCATGTTTTCCTCTTGAGAATTTTGAAATTCTTTCAACATTTGCTTGGATGTTGCTCACTGGGTGGGTTTCAGGGTTATTTATATTGAGAATCTCTGGTAGGGTAGTATCGTTCATAAAAATTGAAACATGTTCTTTTCCTGAATTTTTGTCAGTGAGTGCCAAATCTGGTAGTTTATTAATTTTGGTAATAAATGCTATCGGGCCGATTTTACTTCCTTGAGGTACCCCTGAGTTGATCTTTTTAAAAACACGATATGTCGATCCATCTATGTTTACCCTTTGTAACCGGTCGGATAGGTACGAGGCTAACCATGGTAGTAAAGCGGGACGAACTGCAACAGATTTAAAGTCATTCAGCAAGATGTTATGATCTATAAGGTCAAATACCTTGGAAAAATGCAAGAAAACGATTCTAATTACCGATTTGGGTTTCTCCAAGGCGACAAACCATGTGTGTAGCATTTCGAGGAGGGCTAATACAGACGACGAACGAGGAATTCCCCCAAATTGACGTTCGCTGAGACAGTCCCTTGAATCTTCCAACATCCAATCCAGTGCAAATGATTCTTGAATTTTGGACAATACACTTGTAAGGGCAATTGGTCTAATATATCCTACTGTAGTGCATGGATTTGACTTTGGGATAGGGCAGCAGTTGTATGCTTTCCAAATCTCCCCGAAACATTTCTCTTGAAAGGAGGTGTTAATAATGTCTGTTAGTGGACCGGATAACTGCTCCGCAAAGTGTTTGATAATTTTCGTTGGTGGATCAAAGGGACCTGGGGACTTATTGATATTGATATCTTTCAGCTTTTGTGCAATACATTCCCTTGAAATGGTAGGAAGATCAAGATCGTCTCCACCCAGCTGTAGATCGTTTGATATTTTATTATAGTCTTTAGTTAAGTTAATTAAATAATCATTAATGCACTCTACTGATTCTTCTGAGGTTAGAGGTTGACCAGAGTCTGGGTTGACAAGGTTGATTTTCTGGTTCTTGCTTATTCCACATATACGTTTGATACTTTTCCACCAATCTTTTGGGTTATTAGACTGTAATGGTTTTACTTTGACCCGGTAAAACTTTTGTTTTTCCTTTTTAATTTCTTCGCGAACTTTGTTACGCAACGATGTGAATTTCTGTTTATCTCCTTTCGCAAAAGCTTTATCTCGGTTCACTATTAATGTTTTAATTCTTCCTGTTATAAACGGTTTATCCTCTTGGTGGAACTTTACGGTACGTTTAGGGAAGTAGGTATCTACACTGCTATTAATTACTTGGGTGAACATTTCCAGTTTTTGGTTGACCGTTGGCAACCTTGTTACTATAGACCAATCATATGAGTTTATCCACTGCCCGAAGGCTTCTAAACTAGAATCCTTAATAGGTCTCACCGTCACTTTCCTTATTCGGTTAATAGATTTTTCGACGTCTTTGGACTTCCACTGGATAATAACATGATCCGATGAATCTAATGAAGCTAAAGCTAAGGGATTGGAGTAAAAGGATGCAACATTAGAAAAAATTAAATCCAAAGTGGCACCTTCTCTCGTAGGGACGCGGACGACTTGTTTCAGACCACACAAAGTTTTGAGACGTTTTTCGTTGAAATTATTGCTATTTGGATTAAAATCACCAGTCACTATGAAGGCTGTTTCTGTGCTCTCTAAAACCAGTGTATCGACACAATAGCAGAGATAATCGTAAAATGTTTCTATTTCTTGATTTGAAGTAAGAGGTGGGAGGTATACAACTGCTATCGCTATTCGTGAAATACCTCTTGGGGGCCACTTAGGTCGGATTGTAGTCCAGAGGCATTCGATAGAACAATGTGACAAGTCTACGCGCACTTTGTAAGGTAGGTGCTCCCGTATATAAGTACAGACTCCGCCGCGACTTCCGTTTGCTGACTTTGCTCTATCTTTCCGGATAATTGTGTAGCCACTCACTTGAACAACTTCATCTGGAATGTGGTCAATCAGCCACGTTTCCGTGATACATAGGACTTCAGGGTTGAGAATTTTGGTGCGAATAGATATTTCATCGACTTTATTAAGGATTGATCGAGCATCAAGAAGCATAATATTTGGAAGGGATCTGGTTGGAACAGGTTTGTTGCATTTCGGTATTGGAACTAAGTTAGCCAGGTTGCGCTTTCTAGGAGTGAACTGAAGGGTTTCTATGTGGTTTCTCCATATTGAAATTATTTTGAAAAGTTCTAGTACAGTGGTTACTTATTATAACTGGGATTGTATTCACCTTCGTTGTTGCGTCCTGGTTATTTGACTGACTAAGACAAGAAATTCCCTCCAGCCAGGGGGTCTGTGCTTTAAGCGGCTCTTCCGAAAATTTGCCTGCCTATTCACCGAATCATCATGGGGAGTATTTTGTTTGAGGTGCCATTATGGGGTAGTTACTCGGTAATTATGCCGCTCTCGTGTTTGAGGTGGTCTAGTACGAGGGCGAGTCCGAGAATAATTCATTTGCGATTGTAGACGTCGTGCATGGTTGCGGTTTGTGTGAGCTATGTTTGAAAGGTGGAAATAACTTCCGATCGTCTTTAGTAGCTTTAGATTGCATTTTTCTTTCACCAATATATTCAGATGCGCGGTTAGCTATGTCCTTATATGAACTTTGCGGCTGTTGTTTACTCAATTGTAGTAGACTTACAGGTATGCTATTCATTAAGGGCAGAAAAACCTGTTGAGAACGTTCATTAGATTTAGAGGTAGGTGGTTCGTGTGGCACAGGTTGTAGCTTCAGCTCGACCGAATCTTTAAATCCGGATTTTATCTTTCGTGGATGGGGGGGTTGATCCTTATCAGAAAAAGCTTTAATTTGGACAATTTCTTTGTTATTGACCAGGTGTAAATTTTCACTAGTTTCTTGATTTTGCATATTTATATTGGTATCATCCGCCTGCGTATTAGGGAAAATGCTTCTGCTCTCATTATGGATAAGTCCATTGTGATTACTATAATAATTGTGTTGGCATTGTTCTTGTTCACGGCGTTCTGCAACTAGGGATTCAACATTTTGATATTCATTTTCGACCTTGATTAATTTTTCTTGAAGACTATTAATAATATTATCTCGTTGCTCCAATTCTCTATTTTTCTCGTTTAAAATTGACGAAAACTCTCTGAGCAATGTTTCAACTCTTAGATCGTAGGATATATGATGGCTTTCCGTACCTGAGGGGTTCAATATAACACTCGTAGATTGTATAATATCGTTTGTGGAATCTATGACCCGGTTAATATTGTATAATATGTAATAATAATTGTATAACTGCAATGTCTAATTTGACGTCTTTTAGATTTGCAGTATAGCAAGTATGATACTCTGGGGAAGATGGGTTAAAATCAACGCTATTTTCACTAACAGTTTTGATTGATTCGGCCAAGGGAGGCTCGGTTTCTGGCAACGCATCTGCAACTGTAGGGGATGAACAGTCTGTATACACCTTAGTTTGTTCCAAGCAATTTGAAACCAAAACACTCACCAGAAATTCTTTAAACATATCTCCATCCTTTCCGTGGAACAGTAAGGAGCTTAGCTTGCCCGGATACCAAGTCATAGTAAGATCATGGTATTGATTTTTGAACTGTTTAGCTCTGCCGCCAGAAGTCCAGTTCCCGGCCCAACCGACAGTAATTTCGACGAAATTCTTTAACAAATGTAGCTCCCCTGTCCAAATAACACGAGTCCCATCATAAACCAAGTGTGATTGATCCTTTAATAACTTGATAAAGTTCATATCATTATAAAACAGTCTTGAACTCTCATATTTCGGCGAACTCAGTAAGTCATGATCGTCGGCGAGGGAGGGTACGGTGTCACACCCCAATCCAAACGTTTTGCCTAAACGTTTTCTGTAATTTTTCCAGAAACCATATGTTTTCTAGAAACCATATGTTCCAATTCTGACTCTATTTCACTATGTCTTTGAGCACCTTTCAACAACTTGTCAATTGAAAACATGTAATAATTGTTGTAATCAGCCCTTCAGGTATCCATTTGAAGTCCTGGCTAATAATAATTTGGTTATGGCCAATACTGTTTTGCTCTACTGAGGCTCCGGCTATTAATTGATGAGCGAAGCGAGTATGCAAAGAATGGAAGTTCGAAGTTTCAAGGGCGCTGGGAGTTGAGTGGTGGGCAAAGGCTTGTAAGCTTTGTCTATTTGGTTTTATTGTCCGAGTGCAAGACCGGGCTAACAATTTCAGCTTATCATTATTGCAAGTACAGGAGAATTACACACAGCCACTGGCTGTCAAATGTCTTCTTAGCGCTGGCGAATTTTGCCGTTCGCCGGCCTAAAACAAGATGGGTGGTTGTATTGAAGTCGAATTGCTTATACGTCTGCGGAACATCCCAACTAGAAATTGAACCAAGCTCTCTGGTTTAACATAACAGCGCTCTGCAATGGATAAGCTACAGTACTCAATTCCTGATTCGAACATTTATCATAACTATAAAATTAGTTCTTTAAAACGATAACTGACGCACCAATTGACTGCTCCTGACCGATAACCACGTAACCAGGGTCTGGTGGAAACTCTAGAGACTGGCGGACCCTGGATACGATATTGATTGATTATAATTGCATGTTGAATGGACACTAAATATGCAAACGAAAGAAAATAAATAACATTGATGATAACTATCACTGAATCTTTTGTCCAAAGATTGCCTGTCAATATGATGGTAACGTAAATCAGGATTGTCTAGCGTCACATTTTAGTCAATGTTAGGCCTGTTTTATACGTCGAATTTCGGTCGCGTCGAATGCAATTCAAACAATGCTGAGATAATGAAGCTTAATGAGGTTTATCATCTCATTATCTATTGTCTTAGTTGCATTCGACGCGACCAAAATTCGACGTATAAAACAGGCCTTATTTATGTTGTTCAATATGCATATTTAGTGTCCATAGGACATGGAATTCGTGACGGACCAACCAACTACTGAAGAACTCAATGTCTTCCTGACTAAACCACTGACCGTCCAAAAATGACAGATTGACAATCCCACTGAACAACGAGCAACCCGACTCACCAAATATATTGATTTACGAGTTTATACTCTCTTCTTTAGGTTACTCGGTAAGGTGTTATTTATCCTTTCCATCGTCTGTGGTGCTTACCTAGTTGCTCGTAAATTCAAGAAAGTCAACCCAGCAACATCCTACGGTTTGTTTCATATTTTTTTCATCCTTTCGTTCGCCTTTCTGGGTTCCTGCTTAATTGCTTATATCTACACCTATATTATTATCAAAGATTTTAAGGAAACAGAAGGCAAGGTTAAAAAAGCGATAATCGCTGCACTCACGCCTGGGATATTTTTCCCTGTAACTGCGATTGCAAAATACCTTGTACTAAGAAAGAGCTCGGAGATTATTACACCAGATCGTGCTTTTGTATTGTGTTATTTCCTACGCGGGGCTTCCATTGTACTGTACCGAACAATGCAGTCAGATTTTCAAAATATCTGGCTTTTCATTGGATTATCTCTGTTACATGGTGTCTCAAATGTTCTCAGTAAAGCAACACTTAGCTTTCGTATAAAAATGTGGAAGTTTTTCATCAAATGTCTAAACAACACTTGCTGTGGCCCAAGATTAGAAGTGCAACCTTTAAATTCACCACGTATTCGTCGATTTAACGCAGATCTTGAAATTCAGAATATCTTATTCGAGTACACTACGGTTATCTTAAGTCAGGTATATTTGGCGTGTTATCTTGTAATGAGCTTCGATATCTCACCCTGGCAAGTTATACAAGGTTCTTTAACCAGGATAGCCATAAGTTTGGCCCTAGATTTTGTATTCAACATGATTTCAGTTTTCATTCAAATTCACTATTATGACATCCCAATGCGAAAGGTCTGGCTGAAATATTGGCCACGTCACGTGGTTGCAAATGCGTTAATCATTATCTGTATGGTGTCGTATTTTGGGCCATCACTGGTCAGTGTGTTCGCAGGCTACAAGTACATTTGGAAAGAATACAAACTTAGAAACTGTACATCAATATTTTAATTACACCCAAATTGGATACCAGCTTTCCTGTCAACTTGCCAATGCCATCCCACACAAGGATTAGGGTTATGATAACTGATAAGGAATTTATAATGTGGGGTTAGGATTGTATTTAAATTAAATCTTGTGTGAACTATTCAGATGTAAACAATTTTGAAGCTGAGATTTTTAGCTTTATACTGCAGTGTAAAAATCACGGGCCGGTTGTACTAAGGACGAATAGTACTATCCCCGCCAGATAGTGATTTTTAGATCAGATGTTGCAAATTTTAATCCTGTTGCCATTTGATCAGATCTGCTTGTGTTATGATATGTTATTTATTTTGCAAAGTGAAGTTCGAACGAAATCGAGAATATATTCTAGGCTGTTTCGGTATATTAATATACCCAATTCGATAAATATCGGTTTTTGGAAAATATCGAATACTTGACATTGCATTTTCAACTCAGAGATCCCAAGGCTAGTGCAAAGGTCAGATGGGGTACTGACCACCAGTCGGGGACCTAAAGACACATGGGATAATACTTCGTCGGGTAATACGTATTATTATATACACAAGGTCTGGATATGAGGTATTCTACAATCTGATTGGTTCTCTACTACCAGGATATTAGCTCATATCCTGCTAGTAGA